CGAAACTCGAACGCTCGGTACCTTCCGCGTGTTTACTTGAACATTCTGGATATTTCTTTGCTAATTCAAATATATAGGCGCTGCAAGATGCGATCGCGGCAGTGTTGATTTGGGCGAAACAAGCGAAGCTTCGGAGTGGAATTAAGTGAATTAGTGTGTTTAAATTATTAGTGTTTTAACTTTAATTGTGTAAAGTAAATTAAAGTGTTAATTTAGGTAATTTTATCGGCAATTTTTATTGTCACGAACCTCAAGCTCGTAACAGTACATTAAAACATTTACAATTTTACCTACTTTTCTACTATGTGTCAGGAAAGACTGTCGTATCTTGGAATCTTTTTCATAGAAAATTCTATTGCCCAGGAGTTAAATTATTCCGAATTAATAAAAAATTATAAGTGCATAAGCCAGAAAGACGTCCATCTAGGCTTTTCATTAAGTTTGTTGATGGTAGCTCTTTTATCTTTATTAACATTGACTGTAGAAAAATAGTTTCAATAAAAGTTGTCAAACAAGATTATTAACTCCTATTATGAGAATTGTTGGGAGCACTAAGCTCGAAGTTGTTGACGAGTACGTTTACCTGACAAATAGTCCGACTAGGTAAGTCCAACTTCGACCGAGAGGTCAATCAACTGATCCAACTCGGCTGGGCAACGTTCGGGAAATTACGACGCATCTTCTCGTCAGCTATACCTCAAAACCTGAAAACTAGATTGTACAAGCAATGCGTGTTGCCAGTGATGACTTACGGATCTGAGACGTGGTCCTTCACTTCTAGCCGTATGAGGACGCTCAAGGTCGCTTAGCGAGCTATGGAGTGCTTTGCTCGGGGTTTTTCTGCATGATAAACTTAGAAATGAGGATATCCGCTGTAGAACCAGAGTGACCGAATAGCCCACGGATTAGTAAGCAGAAGTGGCAATGGGCCGACCATATACCTCGAAGAACCGACATCCGTTGGGGAAAACAGGTTCTCGAGTGGCAGTCTCGTACCGGTAGGCGTAGTGTAGGGCAACCCCCCAATAGATGGAGTGACGGCCTGGTAAGACATGCAGGAAGTCGATGGAATCAGTTGGGGAGGCCTATGTTCAGCAGTGGACTTGTGAAGGCTTGTAACATAGAATACTTTAATACATATATAATAGAACGGGGGAGTGGGCGGAGCCCGCGTAGCCACTAAAATGTCACTAACACGTCAATTCACACGTATAAATGTCAACACGAGATGTATTTTGACGTTAAAATCGTTTCCTTCGAATGCAAATAATTTAGAAAATGCCAAATTGCACCCTATTAACAAATAAATATGTATTAAAATTTAATGATGATCTTGAACAGTAACCAAAAGTTTAAAATGTGTAAATTTACTCAGTCTGTCAACACAGCGAATCGGGATTGGCCGCAGCAAGGCAAGCATAGTGGCGTTGTCGACCGCAACAGAGTAGTGCGAGCGGAATGAACATTTCTTTAACACTAATAAGCAGAATAACTGCTATGGCAAGAGCGACAGACACAACTGTGCTTGCCCCGCATATACAGCTGTAGATATTTTATTGGTCTAATACTATTTAAGATCACAAACAAGCAACTAGATAATATAGGAACACTAAGGTATTTAGAGGGGCGCCACTATGAGATATTGCACCACCTAAAAATTTTGCTAGGGCCACCACTACACATGACCTTAGAACTCAACGTAGCTGAAATTGATTTTAGTAATGTGACTAAAATTGACTACAAAATATTGTAAAGGGAATTCCTCAAACATCTTGCAGTTTTAAACACAAAAACATCTACAGGCTTTTGGAGTATCACAACTGCCGCGGACTATACAAAACGGCTAAAGAGAAGCAGTGATGTAGCTAGCCTTGCGGACGGTTCGAGGGTTAATGCTACTGTAACTTTAACCCCTCAATTCCCATAAAATTTCCATGCAGTCGCATGAGCCTGGCAAATTACGAGCGGTCACATGCGACCGCACCCCCCACAGCACTTAAAACCATTAAAACTTATATTTAGAGGCTATTTTTCTATGAAGAAATTTGGCATTATAAAATCTATACAAAATTCTCTATCCTGTGGTCTAAACAAGTTTTAGTGCATTATAGAAATATTTTATTGTATTTTAATAACAAAAAAAAAATATGCCAAGCGGATGTCGGCAGCGTGAAAATCATAATTACTTCAATATATATTTTGTAATAAAACACTACACTAAAACACTAATAAAACACTATAAAAATCCAAAAATCAACACAATAACATTCACACGAAAATGGCGTACGAAATGAACGTAGATTATAAATAAATATCCATAGACTACCTAACTTTTTATTCCACTAGAGGATAGAAAATTTCATATTGAATCTATAATGCTAAACTTCTTCATACAAAAGTAGTCTCTAAACATGAATAATTATGGGTTAAAGTGCTGTGGGTGGGTGCGGTCAAATTTGACCTCTAGAATTTTGACGGAATATCGAAGCGGTCAAATTTGGACGCTTGGCGTTTGAGAGGTTAATGGAGCGTATTTCTTACAGATTATCTAAAAAAAGGAGCCGAAAAATTTTTTTTCTTACCCCATCAAACCGTTAAATTACTTTCAATTTGGGATAATTTCAAACAAAAGTAGAAGCCTTATTACTGGTATTTTCAAAAACTGCACGGTATATCACCATTTATATATTTGATCAAAATTTAAAATTTGGCTACTCTATGAAAAATAATAAATGTATACTGTATTGTATGTATATAAAGTAGTTCGTTAGTTGTGACCAAAACAAACGAACACCTTATTAATAAATATCTAGTTTACCGTTACCGTCACAGCCTACTCCCACTCCACTGCTGAACATAGGCCTTCCCCATAGATTGCCTCATAGGGGTATATTTGTCATGGTTGCCACTCTAGGCAAGCGGGGTGGTAATCACAGTATTTTTATTTTTAGTCGTTTTTAGTGGGACGCTACTGCCTATCTCCCACCACCCACACAACCACAAGTACTACACACTTACGATGTAGTGGCGGTGTGAGAATATCCACTACCCCATATCATCCCGTGGGTGTCGTAAGAGGCGGTAGAGGCAAACAAATCAGGAAATATCTATTAAATAAAACTATGTTTAATAATTTTATCGCGTTTAAAACTAACTATTTCAGCTTATTTTTAATTCCTGACGATCACGGCGGGTACTGAGATGTTAGACATCCCAATGTCATAGTTAGCCCGGCTACCTTCAACTATTGAATATTTTTGGTCCGATCTACGCAGAACCAAAAATTAATATTTAAAAACTGAAGGTAGCCGGGCGAACTGTGACATTGAGATGTCTAAAATCTCAGTTCCCCCCGTGACCTATTGAACTATTGAATATTTTTGGTCCGATCTACGCAGAACCAAAAATTAATATTTAAAAACTGAAGGTAGCCGGGCGAACTGTGACATTGAGATGTCTAAAATCTCAGTTCCCCCCGTGACCTATTGAACTATTGAATATTTTTGGTCCGATCTACGCAGAACCAAAAATTAATATTTAAAAACTGAAGGTAGCCGGGCGAACTGTGACATTGAGATGTCTAAAATCTCAGTTCCCCCCGTGACCTATTGAACTATTGAATATTTTTGGTCCGATCTACGCAGAACCAAAAATTAATATTTAAAAACTGAAGGTAGCCGGGCGAACTGTGACATTGAGATGTCTAAAATCTCAGTTCCCCCCGTGACCATGGGTGCTGTAAAGCACCCGAAACGTCGGGAATTAAAAATAAGTAAAAATAGTTAATTAAACGCGGTAAAATCCGTAAATTTAGTTTGATTCAATGTGTAGTGTTCGCGTAAATTTAAGAAATCATTATGTAAAACAATTTTTACAGATTTTATCTATCAAAATGAAAGTTAATTGGTCATAACGTAATACCTTGAAGCGCGACTCACACTTGGTCGGATTTTCATTAAATACCTACAAATAATACATTTTAAATTTTGTCAAAGAACATCAATAAAAATACTGATTGGGATTTTGTTTTTATTCGTGTTTTTTATACCACTAGTATATAAATGGTGGAAATGCAAATGTTAAGATATATTATTACCATAATGCACATAATTCAAGCTGATAATAATTGGTACAGTTCCAATATAGCACATAACATGTAATACTGCTGCTTTGATATTACAGATTTAACATAATGTACATTTAAATGTAATCTAAGAGACTACCTAGACGCTATTTGTATGTATATATTTTAGTGGCAAATTCGAATTCATTGCACTGACATGGAAAACGAATTGTAGTGGAATTAGCCATAACAATAACATAGTTACACATTTAAATGTAATCATTAAACTGCTATTTCACAAATAATGATTATGGGCACAAGTATTTCTACCAAAAATAGTCACTAATACCTTACACTATGTACTATAACTAACAATTTGAAGAAAAATAAAGCATAGACCCTCTACCGCTTATAAAATACACTATAACGTTTCATAAGTTCTTGTAGAAGTCATTGCTACGGACTACGCACTGCATGTGTTAGGTTTAAATATAAAATAATTAATACAATATTGCATAAGTTTTCTTTTCTATAACAGCACTGCACAAACAAGTCCATCTGATCACTGTTCAAATTATGTTGTATGCACACATAGCCTCTGCACAAATGAAAAATATTTGTTTGAAAATTCCTTTTATTCTGATTCTGACTATTATGTATATATGTCTTCTGAATAAATAAAATCTATTATGTAATATCGAACATGTCTGTCAATATCGGATTTTAGTAAAGAGTAATTAATAACCACATGAATTGTATTAATTTTGTGTGATTTTTTTTATTTTAACACGAAAATCGTTCGTATACCGGAAAACACTGGCCGTTAGAAACAGAAATAAGATTATTGTGCGCATCAAACACAACTTCCCATTTGCTTCAAACGTTTCTTCCAATGCTATGGTGGCTGCTTGGCTGGATGTCGCCGGATGATTACTAGCTAATACCGATGACGATTCGGATACAGATTGGGGTTCTGTACATTAGGGTTCGACTGTTGTACTGGGTACCCTTGAGTTATACTGCCAGGTTTCGCCGTCTGAAAATATAAGAATACGAAAAATATTGACTTATCTCCATGAATGTTTTAGTTGATTTGGGGAAATTTTCTTCAACTGTAATGAAGATGTAATCTAATTCCCATTATACACAGTACCGTATTTACCATAAGGGCACACGGGGCCCTACCGTCACGGGGCCCTACCATCACGGGGCCCCTGTGACGAAAGGCATCCGCCTTATTCGCTTACGCTATACAATCTTTTTTCAATTTTATGAAAATATAATCGGTCAAAAAAAATTATAGAGAAAATGAGGGCGTTGCTAGTGACTTTCTGGCAACCCTGAGCAGTGACAAGCCACACATTGCCGGAAAAAGTGGCATTGACAGATTTCCTAGGTAGAAATTATTTAGGCAGTTCCGCGTTTCGCCGCCATCTGAACGTTTTTGTCGGACTGTACAGTCATTCACTTTTTTTTACTTTCCAACGGGGCCCCAAATTCCTGTGTGCTCAAGGGCCCCGGTATGACCTAAGACGGCGTTGATTATATACAATGTACAGTAGAAAATGCCGAACTCAAATTTCGCAAGCTAGAGAAGAACAGTATTAGCCTTTCGAGGACAACAACTCTATTCACCAGTATGGTATAGGCCAGTTTTTCACGAAATGCATGCCTTATGACTCATACTTGGAACTAACTTGGACTAAGTCGAGTAGAGGACCTCAAAAGGTACAAACAAAACGAAATAAAGATTATTTAAAAAATACTAGTTTTAATGATATTTAAAAGAAGAAAAAGACCTTAGGGGTTAGCTAAGCGCTATTAATCTTTTGTAAATTATATTTTATAATAATAATTTATCGTCACATGTCTGCTTAAAATAGTATAGAATACTGTCGTGTGGGGAATTCATCACTCCATATCGTCCTGTGAAACTCGTAGATGAGTACGGGAAATATCAAAAAAGACCACCTATAAGTTGGCTACCTATATGGCCCATCTCGTACACGCCAGATTTAAAATACGCAGACCGACCAGAGGGGGAAGCGTCAAAGGTGCGAGACGCCTGGTACCGCAATAGCCTGCTTTGCGTGGCGATTGTAGCGAATTATACCTTATAATGAAAGAGGAATTATATCCTACAATTAAATAGGCAACCTAAAATCACTAAACTATGTATTATAATATTATTAATAAATGTTATTTTAAAATTAATATACATTGCGTATACAATTCTTTTTAAATATTTTCCCATTTATAGAAAATTTCCAATGTACCGAATATAACGATATACCGTTACAAGCGGATTTTCTCTATTGGTACCGTGTATGTTGACGGTACGAGCGCGATGAGTCACCATTCCTAATCCCATTCTTTATCCGTACAAATCGCACATGAGTAGGTTCTACTGCTAAACACAAACATAATTTCAATTATGAAACGGTTATGTCTTATAAAACAGTAATGCTGTGCGAATTCACAGAATTCACATTTTATTTTTTAAATTTCTTAGTTACGCAATCTGCATTACGATATATAATTTATCGACCAACGTTCGACCAAAATCTGATAATGTTAAATCTACGAATGATATAATGAAACACATAAATGGTAAACACGTTAACAAGTGCTCATTCAGACTTCGCTTGAAGAGTCAATTTAAAGAAATGCTGCTCGTATATATTTTCTCAGTAATAACCAGGGCATTAAAATACCGAGTAATAATAACTAAAGTAAACAATTAAAAATCATTCCATTACCTGCATATTGTTGTGTTGTGGCGGGGGGTGTATAGCAATATGGCGGCTGACCGGCGGCTGTGCATACACCACGCCGCTACTCACTGAAGGATGATGCGCTTCACTCAGCCCAATCAAAACCTGTGGGGGCTGAAAAATAATTGTAAATAATAACAAATTTCTTTGACAGTCTATTGGTTAAATCATGCAAGAGAATTTCCCACTTCATCCCATCTGGGTGTTGTAAAAGTTGTCTAAGAAAAGTTCCTAAAATATCCAATAGTTGGCGGGGTTATCGAATTCAACGTTAAAGAAAAAATATGCAAACTAGTGCCGGTGATAACTCCAGCTTCTTAGCTTCAGCGTTTAACAAATTGTTCGCTAATATGTACACAGAGTTTTAATAGACACTCATGAATTAGTAGACTATTAAGGGCTGATAATATAAAGACAGACTTTATTTTAACTGTGAATACAATTTTTGCAGACCAATAATCAGGTAAAATTAATAAATTTGTATAACAGACTACAATATAAAAAATAAAATGAGAACATCATCAATCTAGTCGCAGTCAATTAAATACACATTATGAACGATAACTCTAAAACTACTGGTCAGATCTTGATCAAATTTATATGGGACCACATGAGACACCAACTTTCAAATAAAACAACTGCTGCGTATAAGTTATACCTCAAGGAAGTGTCGTCTATATTTGATTTACATCAATGAACTTCCCAAAGTTATAGACTAAACGTCTGTCTTATTCAATCCATTAATTTTAGTGAACTTCATGTCGCACAAGGACACTGAATAATAAAAACAGAATAAAAGAAATATGTTGTATTTCTTTTAAATTAATTAAAAAAGCTTAATAAAACAGGAAATACAAAAGTAGAATGATTTACTGAAAAAATAATATATTTCAGTAATAATAGGGACAATTTTAAACGAACAAAAACCACATGACATTCTTATATTAGTTAAATACGCTTCCTTTCTTCTAGCCCCTAAATTGGGTGCCCAAGAGGGTCCATAACACTGGTCTCACATTATTTTATAACATCTTATGTACATTATGGTTTAGCAATAAATGTTTGAGTTTGATTTTGAAAAAAACTTAGAAAAAGGTTTTGTAACACATAAAAAATTGTCGAATTCGCCAACCAAAGAATATACATTTCACTTAATGAGATAATACAGTTATAAATGAGTTATGAGCATACAGATAGAAAAAAAATATACATATGTATTAACATTAAAAAGGGAGGAAAGAGTTTCGTGACATACAACTTCTTACTAGTTTAGGCATACAACTTAATACTTCCAATATAATTAGATTACAAGTTAGAATCTAGTAGATATAATAAATAAAGTGGGTAGTAAGTAAGGCATTTCTTATCGTTACCAAACACGAAAAACTAGAAAAAGGTTTGTAACACATAAAAAATTTCGAATTCGCCTTTTTTGAGGTCAGTTGAAAAGGCTATAGATCTGGTGACACCTCAGAACTCTAAGATGGAATACCTCACAGCCTATAATTATACAGGCACTCTATACCCTTCGGACTACTACCCGACCATAAAACAGTAATGCAAGCACTGCTGTTTGGCACCAGATATAAGTAAGACGGCGGTTCCTACCCAGATGGATTCCTATTTATTTATTTATTTTATTTATTTTTTATTTGATTATTTTGCATAATGTGTGTGTTTTACAGTTGTTATAAAAATATAGTACAACACATTAACCATTTCTGGTGTACAAAATGATAGAAGTTTAAAAACATTTAGTATTATTAAGTACAATATAGATTAAAATTACAAAAAAAAAATATAAACTAGAAAGTGAAATAATAAAATATCACAATATTTATATTTTCATGTCACATTATATATTAAGTATTAAAATATTTTTATTAAAAAATGGTCCAAAATTTAAAGATATTGTTTTTCCAACAACTCACTAACCGAATAAATAGATTTATTAAATAGCCACTTTTTCAACTCGTTCCCGAAACTCTTCCTTGGTTGTAGTTATATGTTATTGGATATAGCGTTAAATACTTTTATGCACATTGCATAGCAAGATATTATCTAGATATATATCTTACATTTATCTAGATAGAATAGGAGAGCTACCACGTAGTAATTAACTTCGAGGTAAATATTTAACAAACCTGGGCTTCTTTCTTCGGCTCCTGATGTTGCGGTCCTTCTCTGTTTTTCAATATGTCGATATACAGCTGCGGTTGCGGTGCCGGCGCGTACATCAAGTTTGTATGATGTGGAGTGTGCGGCGTGTGCGGCGTGTGTGCGTGATGCGGGTACAATAGCGTGGGCGGTCGCTCACCAACCACGCCTACAACGCCAGATGTGGGCATCGCGTAATACGACCCCGAAGACACTGGCGATCCGCCGACGTTCGACGCGTATTGGGACGGTTCTACGATATCAAACGTATTATGTATTATAAAAAGTCTAATAGAGATCTAAAAGCCCAAAGTAGTAATATCTATTAACGATATTATTATTATTTCGTTACTCATGTTAGATAGATTAACGTTAATCCAGTTTTCCATATTTATACAAAAATATTAGCAAAAAAGGTCTACAGTAATTATAAATAAATCTCTCAACACGTCGTGTTGTAGCTTACAAATTAGCGAAACCGGACTTAATTTTTTTTGTAGTCAATGTTATTTTGTTATTATCGATTCTAATGATACGTTGGACTGAAGTTATAGAACGAACGAAAAAAGCTTATCGCAACTGTGTCGCAGCGTAGTTTTTTTGCAATCTTTACCAGCGGGTGAGAGTATAGGTAGCGACAGTGTGCGAGCGAGAGGTGAATAGAGGCGACGCCATTTTCAATCCCATTCTTTAACCGCACGGGTAGTATATTACATTGCAAACAAGTACTTAAACAACTTTGATGCATATAATAAACAATAAAAAATTCGATAAACCAAAATAAAATTTTAAATTAACATGTTAAAATGAAAACAAAAAATGGTATTAGGGTAGAAATGAAAAGAAAAACACAACGGATGGTTAGATGAAAAGAACGAAAGAGTGACAAAAAGCGACAGTTTGAACATCTATTTAAGGTTCAACTCACTGTTCCAAAGCACTGCGCGGGCCATTTGACGGCCCATGCGGCCGTCTTCTACCTCTGCAAAAGTTTTATAAGTAGTTATTGTTACTAAGCCACTTTCACTGTTTATTTATTAATTACTTATCAGAAATAACAATACATTTCAATGTAAACATCATTAATTCAAAGATAATATCTTAATTTATAAAAAAAATATTACATTTCAATATTGTTGGCATTCATCATTTAATAACGGCACGTAAATTTTTGGTGGATAATTAAATTATATTTGGTTACTACACCAACTAAGTACCACCTGAATAATTTAACGGTACTGATCAATATCAGGCAAAGGTACTCTGTACATGCAGACAATATTAATAGATTAATAATTATTGATGGACAAACTCACTATGGTCGGAATATACTGGTTGATGCTTCATAGGCGGCGGATGTATTCTCTGTGTATATAGTGCGTAAGTCGGGGACGGGCTGCGCGGTCGCTTTACACCAGACTGTATTGGACCACGGACAATAGTCTGCTGTTGCGGAAACAACATGTAGTTTGAGTGCTTATTCTTGAACAAAGAAAACCATGCATTATATTCTGAAAGTAAAATTCGAACGAGTAACGCGTACACGATTGCAATTATTAAAAAAAAATAATGTACTTATACTATATAGAATTGAATTTTTTTTTCAAAAGAAACCACATGTTGTTACGAAAATTTCCTAAAATTAATAAAAGATTGTTTACAATCTTTGAAAGAATAAGTCTTAGTTAAAGGCCTAATTATTTATATCAGAGTTTTATTATAATATATCAAGTATGTTAAACAAAGTTTGAAAACATGAGTAACATAAAAGTGTAATATTTTTCTTTACTCGTGATCTGATGAATGGTATGGAAAGGAACACAGAAAACAAATAATGTTCATCTTTTGTCAGAAACCTTTACGGGCGCGCACCCAGCACCTCAACAAAGTTTGATTGTTATCAGATAAATGATATAGGAATGTATAAGGGACAAAAAATGAAACCTTTATTTTTGTTCATCCTTTATTGTAAACACTTTTATGGGTTCAGAGGACAGACTTAAAGCCTTCTCTCCCAAAAAATCCTGCGTATTTTTTTAAATTGAATCAAGGTTAACAACGAGCACACAGTCCACCTGATGGTAATTGGTTGCTGTGGCCCGAGACATCTACTTCTATTCTCGATAAAAAATCAAAATGCAGACGCGTTGTCACCCCTAAGACCTAAGATTATAATGCCTTGTATCCAGTAAAAAGCGTCCCCGGTTCTCGTCATTCACCATACGAAACACAGATAGCATTAAGCTGCTATTATACGATGGTATTCTGTAAGAGCGATCGAGTAGACCCATTCGTGCTACAACCATAATATAGCTGCAGCATGGCTTACCACATGAATTGAAAAATGGTGCTAATAATTAAGCCTCGAGCCCTACATGGTGTGCTGGGGATATTTGCTTCTTAAATAGTTCTGCTTATGCTTTACCTACATATTTGAGCTTTCGTGTATTTTAGTTTATCGTCGTCCACTCTCAATTAATTGGATTAGCGTCGACAGTCGCGTTGTGTAGACTGTGAAAGCCTCCACTAATGACGTGGGGTACCTAAGCACCCCTCTGTAGGGATACCGTAAATATTTTTATTTTCTTAAGTATAACATTTTTCCCAATTTATTTAATGTATTAGTATGTTTTAATAGAATTTGTAACACATCATATTTTTTTATTAATGAAGTCAATATAAATATATAAAAATCATAATTAACACAGTTCTTTTTGTAAAAGGAATGAACGACGGACATAAATGGAGATGGAGTAATAAAAAAACCAACTAGGCATCAAATTGCTTATCGAAACAAATTCTGCAAGTAATGAGCAATCATTTCAAAAGTAAATAATGAGCCGGAAAAAGTATTGATGCATATTTTTGAGGAAAAATGGATTTAGAGCTTGTTAATTAACATTTGGGGATAAGCTTTCGAAAACAGAGTTGAAGAAGAGATATAAAATAGTCTACTATAGCTTTCCTTAAAAAAACTATGGCTAATCAAAGTTCCGTTGCTGTACATCATACACAAGGTTTGTCATGACTTTTTCCCAAGAAATAATATGGATAGAATAAGCAAGACGATGTATGGTATGGTATATACGCGTAAAATAACACTCTGAAGCAAGAGATTAAGGTCTGTGAAAATTCTCAAATTCATATTACATTTAGATTTTTAGACTGATTTGTAATTTCACATTCCTACTTCACAAATTAGTTTTTAATTTAAAATATACATATATTTCAGTATGGGGTACCCCAGCACCCCACCCCTGTGTAGGAATAACAAGTACTTCGGATAGTGTGTTGTACTAGGATTAAAAAAAAACTATTTATGCAATTGATAAGTTTAGAAAATATAAACAGGTCAACAGTAGGAATGAGTGCAGTAAGACGCCTTGGGGAAAGAGAAGAAAAAGAAAAACAATTTATTTTATAATATAAAGGGGAAACACCAGGTTTTAAGCGTATCACAATACTGAAATCATACGAAGAGTATACGAGACAAATGAGTATATAAATACTACACAATCATCATCATCATTACAACCCTTCACAAGTCCACTACCGAACATTGGCCACCTCCAAAAAAATGCCACAAAACACGGTCCTGAACCACCTGCATCCATCGACTTCCTGCACTACTTACTAGGCCGTCACTCCATCTAGTGGGGGGGGGGCTCTACACTTCCCTTAACAGTATGAGGTTGCCCCTCGAGAAACTTTCTTCCCCATAAGTTGTCGGTTCTTCGAGCGAGCTATTTGGCCGGCCCATTTTCACTTCAGCTTACTAATCCAGTGAGTTATGTTGGTTACTCTAGTTCTACTGCGGATATCCTTGTTTCTAAGTTTATTACACTGAGAAACCCCGAGCATAGCTCTCTCTATAGCTCGCTGAGCGACTTCCAGCTTCCTCATATGGTCAGCAGTGAAGGACCAAGTCTCAGATCCATAAGTCATCACTGGAACACGCCCCGGTTGTACAATCCTGTTTTCAAGTTTTGGGATATACCTGACGAGAAGATGTGTCGTAATCTCTCGAACGCTGCCCATCCGGGTTCAAACAATCGATTGACCTCTCGGACGACGACTTACCTAGTCGGGCTATTTGTCCTAGGTAAAACTTACATAGTCGGACTAATTTGTCTTTTGTAAACATACTCGTCGACAACTTAGAGCATAGTGCATCCAATGACTACTGGCATAGGTGTGACATGGCTATATATAATCGGAATCTCGGAAACGGCTCCAACGATTTTCATAAAATTTTGTGCCCAGGGAGTTTCCGGGGCAATAAATCGATCTAGCTAGGATTTATTTTTAGAAAATGTGTTTTTGTCCGTGTTTTCAGGCAATAAAAAACTGCTACAATATAAGAAGGTAAATTTTGACATTGTGTTAATGATCGTAATAGCTCAAGTGGATATCGAACGGTCGCGACATCGTAATGCCTTGGTTCACGTCCTATCTTCGGTCCGACTTTTTTCCTTTTTTTTCAGTTCTCTTCTTTTGTGAGAAAATCTATTATTTCGAGCACTTTTTTTAGTATTTTTTAAAATACGAAAATTTTAACTAAACCATTATACAAATAACCAGTTCAGTTTTTCCGATTATGTCAATAAGATCAAAAAATATTATTCGGGTTCAATCAATCGATTGACCTCTCGGACGAAGACTTACCTAGTCGGGCTATTTGTCCTAGGTAAAACTTACATAGTCGGACTAATTTGTCTTTTGTAAACATACTCGTCGACAACTTAGAGCACAGCGCATCCAATGACTACTGGCATAGGTGTGACATGGCTATATATAATCGGAATCTCGGAAACGGCTCCAACGATTTTCATAAAATTTTGTGCCAAGGGAGTTTCCGGGGAAATAAATCGATCTAGCTAGGATTTATTTTTAGAAAATGTGTTTTTGTCCGTGTTTTCAGGCAATAAAAAACTGCTACAATATAAGAAGGTAAATTTTGACATTGTGTTAATGATGGTAATATCTCAAATGGATATCGAACGGTCGCGACATCGTAATGCCTTGGTTCGCGTCCTATCTTCGGTCCGACTTTTTTTCCTTTTCTTTTCAGTTCTCTTCTTTTGTGAGAAAATCTATTATTTCGAGCACTTTTTTTAGTATTTTTTTAAAATTCGAAAATTTTAACTAAACCATTATACAAATAACCAGTTCAGTTTTTCCGATTATGTCAATAAGATCAAAAAATATTATTCATGTTTCATCAGTATGCAATTTGTATCTAAATGTAATTTTAAAAAAAACCGAGCAAAGCTCGGTCATCCAGGTACTTATAATAATAATTGTAAGATGTATCCATTGGTAAACACTATTGAGACCACTGAGCATAGTGCTCAAGTCCTCCAGCAGTTCTGCCATAAAGCCAAATCGAAGGTCATACATTTCTTCCAATGCAGTGGTGAAGAGTTTCGGGGATACAGTCACCCTGTCTTACACCTCTCTGGATTTGGATAGGTTTCGCAGCTTGGGCCTGTACTCGCACCATCGTAGTCCTACTGTATATACTGTAACACCTTGAGCTATTGTGTTGTGTTGTGACTGTGAGCGAAGTACAGTAACAACTATGCATTGTTTCGTAATATTTATTCTCTGGTTTCGTACCAAGCTAAATAAAAGAGTTCAGCGTCCGCGCGTTTATTGACCCTATAATCAGCTGGTACCATTTTAATTTTCACTGCTGGTTTTATTTTTCAGTATTTTCATGATTTTTTTATGAAATTATTGTTTCATTTAGCTGTACTAACATGATGGAGCGTGAATAAAGCTAATAAATCGTTGTGAAAAGATGGTTTTTATTTCTCGATCTCGATCGATTTTAACCTGGTCCAATCGTCAACGGTATCGTTAGTACTGCGGAAGCGTTTCAAAAATACCCTGTATACTGTAATACTTGAGTGCCTTAATATACCGACAATCAACTTGATATTGTTGGAGGGACTCTAGCACCGCCCAAATTTCGATGGAATCAAAGGATTTCTCATAGTGCACATGCAATACATTAAGGTATATATATAAAATACACAGGTACACAAAATATCAATAAGAGAGAAACAGAAAAGCCGGATCAATCAGACTGAGAATTTCTTAAGTACAGAATTCAATTGGGTAAGTAATTAATGTTGCAAGATTTTACATGAGTCAACTCAGTCTACTGTTTACAATGAACAGAAAAGGGATAATGTTACTTATATTGTTTTTACTCTTATTTAATCCTATGACAATAAACAACATATAATTATAATCAGAAAATAAAAAAATAAATAGAAACATTTAAAAAGTTAGTACCTTATTAAGAATATGAGAAGACATAGCTGGCGGCCTGCCTTGTGATGGCGGTGGTTCACCCTGCCCCGTGGATGATGACATAGGGAACATCGGTATTTGAATGTTTCCCATTGGAATCTTCATAGGCGGCATATCACTAAAAAATTGTGTTAATATAATATGCATTTTATGTAAGATTTTTTAAACTTTGTTTTTTTTTTTAATTTGGTGTCAAGTTTAACTACTATCAAGTAGTAAAATTAAACAGTCAATTGACTTCGACTACACAAACAGTGTAGTCGAAGTCAATTAAATTCACATTATGGATAATTCAAAAACTACTGGTCAGATCTTGATCAAGTTTATATGGGACCACATGAGAAGCACCAGCTTTCAAATAAAAAAAATCAAAATCGGTCCACCCAGAAAAAAGTTCTCAGATAACACATATTAAAAATACAATTGAATTGAGAACCCCTCCTTATTTTGAAGTTGGTTGAAAAGCATAGGATTATTGCCTGTGATCATATAATATGCTTTATCATACAAATTTGAACTACCAGGAAATTTACTAGAAGCTCTCAGTTATGCATAATACTTGCTAAGTTTTCTACTGATTTCCTTTTTTTAATTGGCATAATTTTTCTTATATATATAAATATATATATATATATATATATATATATATATATATATATATATATTTATATATATATAATTTACATCAAAAAAAATTAAATTGTTTACATACTGCAAATGCTAAAATAAAATGTAAGGACCTAATACATATTTAATAGCAGCAATTTTATAATATTATAAAAAATGTATCAATTTTTACATTCACAACTCACTTGGATTCCTTCTGTTGTTGTCTCTTTCTAATCTCATCTTCATTAAGAACTTTCTTGAGCTGCATGAATAACTGTTGCTTTTCTTTTTCCAACTGTTTCAATTTCTGTTCCAACTGGTCTATTTGTTCTTTAGTTTCCTCTGTAAATGGTAATTTTATTTGTGTTTATAACTTAATACATTAACAGCTATACTTTACTTATTATTAATAACATAATACATTACCAGCACTTTACATAACATATTTCACATAGTATGTAAATCATGTTGCAGCAAAGTAAGACATGACCCATTTTTTCCCATGGGTGTCATAAGAGACCCCTGTGGGGAAATGCCAGAAGCATGTGATGCCACAAGTAGCAGATGTCTAGCTCGACACCTGCTACTGCTATGCAATAGCAGTAGCAGATGTTGTGCAAGTTGTGGGATTAGTAGGAACAGGGGATTTTTACGAACTTTAATAGGAATAGATTTTATTTTTGTTAGTCTAGATCTAAAATATATTTTGGAAATGCGTGTTTATTGAGAATAGAAGGGGAGTTGGTCAAGCAAGTAGATGAGTTTGTATATTTGGGATGTGTATTCAGCAGGGATAAGAAATATGATAGGTATATAGAATTCTTAACCGACGAGCATGTATGCATGGGTATATGAATGTGAAGGAGGCGGAGAGGTATGTCAGGATCGTGCCAAATGGGAGTCTGTAGTCTCTGCCTACCCTTCTAGGTGACAGGCGTGACTGTTTATGATATGTTTTATAACAACAAATATGTCAATGAAACAAAACGCAAAATTATTAAGCAGTTTTTCAAATACTAAATTGATGTGATTGATTGCATTACGACACAAAAATGTGACAAATGTTTAATATTTATTATAAATAGTGGCCGACCGAAATTTTTGTTTTGGTTTTTTGTTTTGGTTTCTTCCAGCAACGGCCCAATGCTGGTTTTGAAACTAGTCGTGAGCTGTCAGATGTATTCGAGTTGTTCGCCGACAGACATCTTTTGATGAAATCTAAGAGAGATGTAGTACTACTAGGTGGTTGGATCTAGGAGTCTCTCTTGGTAAGTACAACCCTCTTATTTATTTCTGCTACCAAACTATAGCTAAATTGTTAAATGTAAACTTCTCACTAAGATAATCTTTAAAGTATAGTATAATAGTATGTAAAGAAGTATTTCACGATCATAAATTACACATGCTATTGTTATGCCACATGAATTACAAACACTTGCTATATTGGTTTCTCACTGGTTCTTCCCAGGACAGAGGTTTTTTTTCCAAACCAGTGGTAAATAAAAAATGACTTTCAATAAGAATTATGCTATCATCTATATTGAATAAAATCTTTCATTTCATTTCATATATGCTGTATTCACATACTTAAAACCAAATCAAATAGTTTATTTGTGAATCACAAGTTACAAAAAGGTCTTAATTAAACACAAATAAAGTTAGTCTGTGATCAGCCTCATGGGCATACAAACGTCAAATACCATTGGTAATTCATAGATTAGTCCTGCATACAATGCTTAGCCGTTGCAATACTGAGCCATTAATACTGTTTCTACTGTTTGTTAATATTTTTTAAGATTTTTTTTATAGAAGAAGGGGCAAACGAGCATGCGGCTCACCTGATGTTAAGTGACTACCGCCGCCCATGATCAACCGCAACACCAGGGGAATTGCAGGTGCGTTGCCGGCCCTTTAGAAAGGAGTAAGCTCTTTTCTTGAAGGTCTCCAAGTCGTATCGGTCCAGAAAAATCGCCGGTGGTAAACTATTCCACAGAGAGATCGTACGCGGAAGAAAACTCCTTGTAAAACATACAGTGGTGGACCGCATCCAGATGGTGTGGATGGTATCGGGACGTTTGCCGCGTAGTGCGTTCACGAAATTTGGCGAATGGGATTAATCCGAACAATTCCTCAGAGCCCTCCCCCTGGTATATGCGAAAGAAAATGCAAAGAGATGCAACATCTCTTCGCAGCGCCAGTGAATCGAGCCGATCGCAAAGCACTCGGTTGTCGACGATTCGAGCCACTCTGCGCTGGATGTGGTCAAGTGGAAAGAGCTGGCACTGGGGAGCTCCAGCCGTGAGATGGGAACAGTACTCCATGTGCGGCCGAACCTGCGCCATGTAAAGTTGCAGATGGTGTGCCGGCAAAAAATACTGTCCCGCTCTGCTGAGCACGCCCAGCTTTTTAGAGGCCAATTTGGCCTTCTCTTCCAAGTGATCACTCCAAGTGAAGATTAAACATAGACTCTATCTTGAAGATATAATTACAATTATTCTGAGTTTGTTTGTACATTGGTACCAACTCCAAGACCTTACTAATTTAATTGTAGAAAAATGAAGAAATCTTTTAAAGCAATTGCTATACATAACATGTTATCTAAAAGAATGCAGATTTATGGGTTTTTGTAAATATTTTAATACATAAATTGGTGTTTTCTTTTTATTTTAACTCAATCGAACAAACTGTTAGTAAGTTAGGAAAACACTAGATTTCTAGGTGTAGTGAAAATTTCTACTTATTATAAGTTTCTGTTTTAACTGAAAAACCTGTAATTATGGTGATATGAGCAGTGGCGTAGCTACCTAGGGGCTAAACGGGGCAGTGCCCCGGGGCCCTCTAGCTCAGGGGCCTTACCAGAAAATCTTTCGACTTTTATCATGGCAACTCAGTTGAGAGAAATTCGGAAGTTATACCTAGGGAATTCCTCTAATTTCTTTCTGTGGGTTAGCAGTGTTGTTAATTTGACTAAAACTAAAATTATGGACAAAAAAAGAAACCCAGTAGTACTTATAAACAGCCAAAAACGCCAAGAAAGAGAAGATAGTAAACATAAATTACCCAAAATTGACAAGTTTTTTTAGTCAGCCTTCTGCAAGTACTTCTGGACAAAATATTTCTATTGATAGTGACTTAAATAGTGTGGTAACAGCAGTGTAGGTTGAGAAGCCTACTGAAGAAGATTCGACAATTATTGCAGTTGGAGATACTTCCGTCGCCGATCATGTGAACGTGGTTGATGTTTGCATGGCACACAAGAGCGGAGGATTTGGAGGAACCACATACCTCTACATTTTTCGAAAATGTGTACGATAAATCTTCTTATGACTTGGGAAACTTCACAGATAAAATATTAAGTGATAAAGAAAAACGTCAAATTCTTGATATGGGGCCCTTACACCTTCAGGACCTTTTCCAACAGATATCAACCAGAACAATATGTGTTTTTCAAAATCGTATTATGGTCTAAATATGGACCAGTTAATCGTTTTTGATTGTGTTATTCCAAAATACTAGACGCTGCCTATTGTCAACCCTGCTGGTTATTTGCTTCACAAAGGAATAATATTTGGTGTACGGGAATTCGGGATTGTAAGCATGTGCTGTGTATGAATTTTGGAAAAAAAAATACTAATACTATCGACAAGGAATTTGAAAATGAAATTCGCAAAGGAGCATCATTTTGGAAAATGTTTCTTCAAAGGTTATTCGATATCATACTTACCCTAGCAAAGACTTCTTTGAATTTGAGAGAACATCGAGAAGACTTAAGTCATGAAGGATAACATGGATATTTTATGTCCTTTTTAGAGCATGTTGCCCGATATGATCACATTTTGCGGCAAGTTTTGGATATGCACAAAAGTATTAATTACTATTTCTAAGTTTTATTATCATTTTATTTTGTTTATAATTATTAACTATTTAATATCAGGACTTTTTTGAAATTGTGTTTTTTAATATTTTAAGGATCTACAAGATATCTGAGCGCAACAATTTAGAATTTAATGATTGAGAGCTTGGGGACCAAACTCGAAACCTATCTATTAACTAAGACATATTAGGGCGTCACCGTTTTTCGTCATCATAATGGGTACGACACAAAACATATCGAAGGTAGATCAGCTAAGCATTGTTGTGAGGTATGCAATAATAACCAGATCGGAAAATGGACAGCCAATTAATATAGAAGTAAAAGAAGTGTTTTTAGGCTAGGCAGCTATCAAACATGGCGCAGCAGATTTAGTCAACAAACATTATCTATTGACAAAAATATTGAATTAAAAAAGGTGTGGGGCAAGGTTGTGATGGAGCCAGTGTGATGAGTGGTGTGTATAATGGTGTCCAAAAACATATTAAGGATATCCAGCCTAACGCGAAGTACATACATTGTGCCACTCATAATTTTAATTTGGTAATAAATGACGCCGTTAGCAGTTGTGTGGAAATACAGATTTTTTTCGCAACGTTGCAAGATTTGTTTAACTTTTTCGGAAAAAGCATCAAACGTTAGGATCTACTGTCAAAATTTACTGGCGAATCGGACACCACTCTAAAAAAAACTAAATCCAACTAGATGGTCCAGTAGGGTCAATACGATATCTGCAATAAAATTTCGTTTTTTTTTTGATATCATAGCATTAACAGAAATAGTTCTAAAAAGTCCTAATAAAGATGTGCGTAGTGAAGAGTATTAAAAAAATGCTAACTTTGGAGTTCGTGTTGCTTTGCGAATTCATGCAGTGCATTGAATGTACTTGAATTATGCAGGCCAAAGCAAAGTTACAAATTCATAAAAATGATTTAGAATTATTCTAGTGCAAATCCAGTGAAACTGCAAGAAAATATGGTATAGACACCCATTTTTAAGAAAAAAAAGGCAAAGGAAAGCTAAAAAACATTTTGATGAGTTAGCTGCTGATCACCGATTTCCAATCAGAGAAGAAATATTTAAAATTGAGATTTTGAATAATGTACTAGACACATTAATAGCTCAATTAAATACACGTTTTACTGGTATGTGTGCAGTCTGTAGATATTCGATTTTCTAACACCAACATTTTTAATGCATGTTGATGAAGCAATTTACTGGTATGTGTGCAGTCTGTCGATATTCGATTTTCTAACACCAACATTTTTAATGCATGTTGATGAAGCAACTTTATTACAAAAGTGTGACGAATTCCAAAGAAAATATTCAGATATAATAGGCCCTAGTTTTTCACTTCAATTTATTAATATTTACCACCTAGTTTTACCTCAATTAACTCAAGCATGGACTGTTCACCAATTATGTACTTAAGGAAATAATGAGCAAATATGGAGTGCTAGAAGGACTTCCT